CTGCTCATATATTTGCAAACCACAAAAAATGTCAGCCTTACCTACACGGGAACGACGATGCTCACGCCGCCGCTGCTTCCTGTCGACTGGCGGGGTCGTGGTCGATGACCCGTAGCGACCAACCGACCCAGAGACCCTCTGCCTAAAATTATTTGAACACCATATTGAAATTCCTAGCGTATAGCACCAGGAATGTGTAAATTAATATTTATATGCATTATAGGCCTTTCCAAATATAATTTATAGATCTGAATATCATATATTGTCTAACAAGCGAATTATTTAAGTTAATATTGTAATTATGTCAGATACAATTAAGTCTCATCGCACACAAAAAGATTCGTCAGCGGATTTTTTTTATTATTGTTTTATTTATATATAAAAATAGTTCTTAAAGTCTTGTAAAGCCGCTAGCATACATAGCGTTTCGGGTAGGTCCTTAATCCTAAATTTTCCCCGGAATACGACCCGCCAAATCGTTTAACAACCTATTCTCTGCTGGGTGAACAGTTAAGGATTGGCGCCCGGTCAATTCTTCCCGGCCAGGTCAAAGCGCTGGGGAAGAGCCTGGCGCGTGCTTTACCACTGCGCCACAGAGATTGCTCCGTGCCGTAGTGGAATTTTGAATTTTGAAACCTGAGTAACCTAGCTCAACCCAACCTAACGTAACTCAAATCAAACCAGTCTAATCCAACCGAGCCCAATGCAGCCTAACCTTAATAACATAACCTAATACAGCCTAGCATAACAATACAGGAGGGTGGAGGCCTGGTCAAGGACCGGGCCGCGGGGACACTAAGCCCCGAAATCATCTCTCATCTCAAGATAACCAGTTGTGTAACCAGAGCCCGACCAGTTGTGTACCTACAGGCCTAGCAAACAAACACCTGCAGACGAGGAATAACGTGGCTAAAATATTCGACCATTCTCAAGTCGAGTGTGAGAATGCACAATTGACTTGAGAATGGTCCAGGACGGACTGAAACATCGTCATCAATTCACTTTCTAGTGTGTGGTCTGGTAAACAAACACCTCGTCTAACCAGACAAACACCCCCCCCCCCCCTAACTCTACCAAGCACACTGAGAGCCCTACCAAAGTAGGGAGGGTCCACAGACGAGAACGTGGTTGTAAGTATAGGTCCACAGACATGGGCCCCAGTGCCCATCATCTGGGTTGGAGGGCAACAGTGCATTGCTTTGCTCAGAGAGTATAAGGCTGCTAACACAGCCCTGCCTTCAATAAGCAAACTTTTCAGGATTATTTAATTAACTAAGATTTACTTGAATTTACCAGAAGGTCACTATCTCTCAGTGAGGATAAGAAGCCGGCGGCTTGTCAAATGTCTCCCTATTTGCCCTGGTGATTTTATCGAGCAATATTTTGGCATTTACGGCTTCGGCGGGTATGCGTTTCCACAATTATATCATTCTATAGGTGAAAACAAATGTTTTCCATCCTTCAGTGTGGCTTGTTGAGTTCGAAACCGTTGCTCCTTGTTCGTCTGGGTCAATATCTTCCAAGTTGTTCAGTAATTGAAAAGTTTTGCTGAGAGCAGTCCTGTCATGTCTGCTGGTCTCTGTGGCCCTCAACCGTTCCTGGTATGAAAGTCGACTTAGTTCGGAAAATATTTTAGTCGCCCGGTGTTGAACTTTCTCCAAAGCAGATATGTCTTTCTGAAGATGAGGTGTAACGTACGATTATGTTACGTTGTTGGGTAGATTAGATACACAGTGTTTGGTGAGTTTCATATTTATTTAGTAGTCTTGATTACAGTAGTCGGTTGGTGGCATTATCGTAGACATTCAAACGGAGCTTAGAGCAGAGCAGAGAGCTGAGTGAGGCCGGAGTCGCAGAGCTCTATGCGGGAGAGCGAGCGATAATAATCCAAGTGGAAGCACACCAGAGATTTATACAGTTGTATAAATGGGCCCTGCTTGCCTCGGAAAGCGGGGGAATTTCTGGAAGGGAGAAAAACATGCGCAAGTGGGCGCTGCGCGCTAAGTATGTGAGGCATACTTAAACGAGGGTAAGTGGGGTCGCGTCCTCCATTTTGCTGCAGCTTCGGTCCGCTATGTACCATTCTTCTGCTCTTAGTATTTACTGTATTAACTCCCCTAGGTTATAGCACTATGTCTTATACTTATTACATATGGCTATTAAAATTAAGCATACCTTTTATTAATTGTTACTGCAGGTTATTCATCTCTATAAATTTAACTACTTTACCTGTATTTACTGTAACTACTCACCTATGTTACAGCGTTCCGTCATATACTTTTACTTATAGCTATTAAGCATACTTTTATTATGTTACTGCAGATAATTATTCATCTTTATACTTTAATAAATAAGTCCCCCCATACTAGGCATGCGTTTTTCTCCCCGAACAGAAACTACATTTTCCTTCGTCAAAATTTCGTTTGACTATTCCTAGGATTGGGTTTGCTTTTATAACTGCAGCTTCAGATGCTTTTTCGTCATCGGTTTTCACTTGGTCTCATTTTTCAATTCCCTATGGACATTGTTGTTTTGATTTTACTCCTTATATAAGCATAGTGGGCCTTGGGGTCATTCCTTATGTTTAGAGCAAGTTTTCCTTTTTTGTGGGGAGGCTGATCTGATTTCCTAGATAGCTGAGCTTCGACACCCTTTTTTGTATGCCTGTCTATTTAATTGTTGATAGACTGATATTTCCAGCAATTGAACTGTAGTTTCCAGGGCACTCTACTCCCAATTAAGAGGAAATGGTAAATATACTTGTCTCCACATAGGGAAAAAATATACATTGGACAATCAGATAATTTTTGTCTCCTCTCTTTTCACCTCAGGGAAGAGGAGGAGCTTCATAAACCAACCTTAACTGACCCTGCAGATCATTGAAGCCTCCTTACACATCAAAATATATTTGTACACCACAATACTGATGCTGACATTGATTTACATTTAGGCTTTCATTTAAAACTAACATGCAGTCAAAATTGGCCGAGATGTTAAATTGTTGATTTTTGACTGGTGTACTGGGGCAACCTATGATGAGTAAAACCAAAATAATGTTTTGGGGTTATAATCGACCACTGAACAGCCTTTCTAGTTTCAAGTGACATAAGTTTCAACATTATAAAAGTACATTGTATCATTTCTCTTAACCATCAATGGAAGAATCAAGATTTAAAATTGTGTGAAAGTACTGTGGCAGTATAAAATACCCAATCTTCATTCATTCCCAGTAACTTACTATAGAGGCAGCCACTCCATCTATATTCTCTCTTACAGCTTTTACCAATTTCCTTCCAACTCAGTTTTGACCATATCCAACATACATTGTTTAACGAAATATTAAAGCAATCACTGCCATAAATGTAGTATTGTGGTACTTAGGTTGAAGACAGGACAATGGTGCTCTCAACCTATTTTCCATGTACCTTTCATACATTTCCCTCATTCAACATGGAAAACATTTCAAAAGATCAACATTTCACAATACTCTAACACTTCTGTATGTGTATTTACAAAATTATCTGGTTGAAATCAAGGAATGTTAGGCCACTTGTAACCCACTGCCTTTTCCATCGTAAGAGAATTGGATGCCATTAACATTTTTACAATGGCAAATATAAACTGCTTTAGTAAACAACTCTTCTGCATTTAATCCTCCTCATTGTGATTTATTTCATCCTATACTTTGCATTACCAGTCCTGCATTAAAGGTACCAATTTATACTACGTAGCACTATTTTTAGCAGCAAGTACCATCTACAAAAGTTTGACTATTATAAGGATGCATATACTAGGGGTTCCTGTTAACAAAAATGCCATTTTTTGCTGTATACAATTTTCTATTTAATTTAATAATCTGTTAATTGAAAAATACCTTAATTTTTTATGTTGACATTTTGGTTATTATAGTGCCATATTTTCCCTACATGATTCAATCATTTTACATCCACATACCTTATTATTGCACAGTACACTAAATTAATGAATGGTACCAAACTGGCCACGATTCAAACCAGTTTGTCCTCTTCTATCAGTGTCCTAACAACTAAAACATGGATCTCAATGTTATGCCAAAGATATGGTAATGTAACTGCAATATTACTCTCCCTGATATAAATATAGTAGCTGTATATTTTCCAAATACTTTTATTGAATTTAGATGATTGTGCTGTGTACTTTATCTATATAAAAAAAGGCCCTTTTGGTTAGAAGACATCCTTAACTCTATGTGTGCATCCTGCTTTTAGGTTGATTTTATGTTGTGAATAAAAAAAATCTAAATATTCTTTTTCCTTTCTATTCTGTAAAGCATTCATTTCTATTATAAGTACACTATTTGTAATAGATTCTCCTTATCACAAATCTACTTGACCCAATTTAAAATTTAGCATAACATCTATCATAGGGATCAGTAAATGGATGGTGCTGCACCTGACATTGTGCCAATATTTTTACTAATTCCCAGGAAGGAAAATAAGGATTTCTTAATTTTTCATCGAAATGGCAAACAACTGCAACAGATTTTGAGTGTCAAACGACATCCACAGAAAATCTTAGTTATTAATATTACAAGGCATGTTAACTCTGCCACAGCACTGTCGATTTCTTCACGGTGACAGCAGTTTAAGGGTAAAGTATTTCTAGCAAGTTATTATTTGAAAGAGGTCAAACATTCCCTCTCACATCAATCCATCACTACCCATGGACTGTTCTCACATCCAAATTTTCTTGCCATTTGTTTAATTATGACTACTCAGCCTTCCTCTATTCCTCCTTTCAAATGCATTTTCTCACTATTATCTATTTGCTCATTACAGTATGACTAAAAATTCTTTATACAGCTTTTCCAATCTTCGTACTGTATTTCCCTCTCACGAAGATAGAAGGCATTTAACCGATTATAGCAGTGCAATACACCTTTGGAAAAGGTCAAATATAAAATGACACCAGCATAAAACTAAGTTTTTTAAGTATTCATTCATGAATTTCAGTCAAAGCAATTCTAGGGCAAATATTTATTGGACCTTTGTTTACATAACATTTTATTCTACATAGGACACTGAATATGCAAACACTAGTACATTATAAAATGCATTACAAATAATTCTCTTCCCCCCCCCCCATTATGCTGAGGTCCACAATCGAAACCTGATTGCCCCCAAAGTTGTCTTCAGTCATCATGACTAATAATAATAAATACAAAAAATTACTTATTAATTTCCAACATAGAAGTCACCAAACCTGAAGATAACTTTGGGGGCACTGATGTATAGTGAGTTTGAGACTTAAGAATTGAATATGATAAATTGCCTGAAACAAATTTGAGAATATACACACACTAGTGCATTTCCATGAGCAAATAAAAATGTTCATTAGTATGAGACATGTTTTTTCATGCCAAGCAATCAAGTGGAAAAAACCTTCTTCATTAATGTTCCCTACTGTAGGCAACCTCAGTAGTTTTTTTCTATTTCCACAATCTTGCAGCTTACAATGATTGTTATGTTGACAGTTGTCATCTGTAACAACTAACTGAACATCTTCAGAGGTAGCATCAGATGGTTTACTTAGAACTAGCATCACGGTTGACCTTCCGTTGCCTAGGTGACTGACGTGGAGTTTTCTCTGGAAGACACAAAAAGTAAATTTAGAATAGGTAGTTGGATCATACAGGAACAATCAAGAAATATCACTGAGATGAGATACCAACAGTATTGCAACCAAGTACATGCTGAAATAAAGAGCATTAGCAATGTGATGGCAGTGATGCTTACTTATTAACATCCATGGAGAGTGAAATCAAATGCTTTAGGTCACAATCTCATAGCTACACAAGGAAATCACAATGTGATATATCTGAGAAAATCACTGGAGCAGGACAGGGGGTCAAACCAGCGCCCTGAGTAACCCCAGACACGTGCCTTAACCCAGTGACCTTTTACAATGACTTTGCAGCTCGCTTCACCAGCCAGCTCATCTATCATTCAACATGTCCAAAATAGAATGCTCTTCTAACTCTGCACTTAACAGCTATATTTTAATTCTTTAACTAACATAGTTCCTAAACCACTACACATGTCAGAGATATTTCAACTACGATAAGTTTCACAATCATACCACACTATGATACAACATATGTTAGCTCTACCATTACTTCATGTAGACTTTTGCATGCATCTATTCCAATTCTCTTAACTGCAGCTTTCATTGCAGCAACCACTGCTTACCTGACTGACACTGCTCTCAACTACAATCGTAAAAATACCTCTTAGAAATAATATATCCCCCATTATTTCAACTGATTACCCACTTACATTCACATTCAACATTTCCTTATCTATCTACCACCATAACTTTAAATTTGTCCACATTATCCATTATCCTCTCATCTCAATAAAATTTGCAACTAGTCTACACAACTCTCTTTATTGCTATTAAATGAACTATCATTTACATCAAATTTGACATGCCCATAACTCTTATTAGGCTTATACAAGTTTACACCCCACTAGCATTCTTACTTCGACCTCCCTCAAGACCCACATCATGTATATATACAGTATTCAATAACCAGAGTGATATCACACAACCCAGATGTATACCTACATTAATATCAAATCATTTATTCGTTACATGATTCACTTTTGCATAAACACTTGACAAAAATTTTTCATATTTAACTGCACTGTTAATGCCATTCATACTTATCACTTTCTGAAGTTCATCTTTAATTTTATTTTCATATTCTTTTTCAAGAAGACCGTTATGCATACAGTATATCCTTTAAATCCCATTCAAGGTCCAAGTGTTAAAATGGTTCCAATTATCTAATCAGGACGTTACATGCCCAATAACACTTCCATACACCCCCACATATAAGCACTGACGTGTTAAAGCCAGAACTTCATGGCATTCTACAGATCCTGCATGAACATTTACGAATTATAATCCTTGTTAAAACATAAGATATTCTTACAGGTAATACCAAATTATCAATATGCACAATATATTAAAGGCTAGATACTACAATGTTTAAAAACTCACTGATTTCATTAAGGACTTCCTTGGGAAGCCAATCATAGTCCACATCGTCACGTTTGCTGGTGCCCACCTCCACGACAGCTTTCTTGCCTCCCTTCTTGCGGCCGAATGAGGAGAGAAAGTGATGCCCTGCTACAAGCAGCAGCACGCTGAAAGCTAGCATGAACAGGTAGAGGAAAAATGTTTCTCCATCCATTCCCTCATCAAGCTCGACTATGCTGACTGTTTGATTGAAGACTGCCTCCAGGAATGCATTTCCATCCTAAAGATGGGGAGATCAAATGTTTGTTAAATGTTAATAACCAGGTTGTTTGAATCAGCCAATCAAAAGGTCCCCTATATCTCAGGATAAGAAAAAGCACAATAATTCAAGGGTTGAGTGGTGGTGGTGGTAGTGCTTACCTATCAATAACTATCAAATTACTGTAGCTTTTTATGCCCAGTCTCCTGGCCTTTAATGCCAGGTGTGGTAATTAAAGTATAATATGAAATGATGCCATAGAAATTCTATTGCCTATAACAAGAAACCCCAATTTGTACCAAACTGAACTCATTCTTAACATTCTCTTACTTTTTCCTTAGTCACATCCTGATCAATGAGATACCAATGTAGCCTCCATCCCTCAGCCTACTTTCTCTGCCAGTATATACAGTATTTCATACATGTAAAACCCAGACAATAATTGTTTAAATCACATGACGATGACTGCTTTCCCCTAGTAACATTCATGACAATAAAAAATTCACCTAGCACGCAAACCACAGGATTTGTTCATGGATCAAGGTAAACTCCATTACATCCACATAAACCAATTATATCCTCATCTGCATCATACATGGAAAACTCGGACAATAATTGTTTAAATCGTTACTTCTATGATAACCACCGTGGCTCAGGTGATCAACAAATGACAAGTCACTGTCACTACATGATGAATGTTAATCATCTTTGCCTCAGGTCAAATCCAGGACCCCTGGTCACTTGATCAAATGCTCCTACTGAATCCTAAAAAAAAAAACTGTTTATGCACATTTTTATCCTTGTGTGATCTGCATTCAACAATATTTAAGCACTTTTCAGCATTATGTGGTTTGTATATTCCACCCAAATCACAAAGAAATATTGCACATCCTAGTCCTCAACCCTCCCAGTTTGGTAATTTATGTCCAATATAAGTTGACAAAGCTGAGCATTACTGTAATAGACTTTCAATTACTCTATGAACAAAAAATAGCAAGAGCCTTTGAATACACTATACACCAGGCAACCAATTGACAGGAGGAGGTACAAAGAGAAGGAAGGCAGAGAGGAAGACGAGAGGCAAAGGGGAGGCAGAAAGGAAGACGAGATGCAAAGAGAAGGATGACAGAATGGAAGAGGTGGTGTGAAGGTAAAATGAAAGGTGGAGGTGGAAAGAATGGAAGAGGAGCATGCACAAGAAAAATTAAAAGTAGTTATTGTTGGGCTACACTTTCATTTCTATAAACAAGCACATTTTGCTTTCCTTTGCACAATAATTTAACTCGGTACAAAAAATTTAATACATTGAATAATACAGCACTAAGGGAGGAGGGGCAAACCCTCAAGATAACCCTACAAAGTTGCCTGATAAAGAAATAAAATTTAAGAACATTACTTACAGCATCATGATATGCAAGGTTGACAGTTAGTCCAAGAGGGCGTGCAGCAAATGCTTCAGCAGGATAGAATGAATACATAACTGTGGCCTCCTGCCGTGGCTTCACAGCACGGTTGTAAGGAATAGCAGTGAAATTCTGAATGTAGAAGTTAAAATCCATAGGATAGCGGAATGATGCATCAATGGCATCCAATATGAAGTCCTTGTCACCATTGTTTGTAAAGCCCACAAGGAATTCTACCAACTTTCCAGCAGGTAGTTCTGCAATTAGATAACCAACATACAGTAAATTGCACAAAAAAGGGGGAAGCTATTTGTTGAAAAATACATAATCAATGCCACTAAAAGGTGAAAACTGTTAAAGTATGAAATATATGAAGCAAACTTGCTTTAACAGAGGTAGCTGATGAATGGATAACAAAATTACATCCTAATTACAACAATGTAGCAAAGGATTTGTTTGGACCTAACTACAGTTTGTAGAACTGAGCTTCAGTCCCCAAGTACTGCTTTTCCAATTGTCAACCATCAAATACAAGCACTTCCAACTCCTTTGCTATTATCATACACATTTCTATAAATATAGATGTACATAACCTCTATTTCCCATTCTAATCCACTTCACTTGTTCATTGCAGTTAAACTGAAAAAAGGGTTTCCATCATCCATATTAATCATCTGTGTCTATATTCTCTGTATGTTACCCTCATTACATTTATTCTCAATATAAACATCCTCCCTCTGTTTAATCAATACCCTATGCTTGCTACATCTTTAAAATCCAACATCTCTGATTGTGACTCCTGTTTCCTGTATGTTGGTACTCCCATAAGCTATTTAATATATTTTGCAGTTACTGTATCCTATCTTGTCTCTCAATCTTACATAGTAACATTTTGTGAGGAACCATTTCAAATGCTTTCTGATAGTCTAGGAAAATTAAATCTTTCCAGCCTTCTTTATCCTGCTATATTATAATAACTGCCAGGCAAAACTTTTCCCTATTTGATATCCATGTTCTCTTCCAGGTTTTAGCCAATCCAGATACTCTCTCATTCCTTAATTATTTTCTACATGTTAATGATCAGCTAAGAATGTAGTCAAGGTAATGAACCGTGATACTTTTATGTAAAGTGACTAACCTGTCCCTGAGCCAACAGGCTTAGTGAAAAGAATAATAGTGTCTGCATCTGGTGACCCCTTGGCTGTTGCTTCCTCCTCCTCCTCTTCCTCTTCGCCGCCTCCTTCAGTTGTATCAACCTCTGCACCAGTGCCATCGTCAACATTTACTTCGTCGTCATCTGCGAGGTCCTCCTCTTCTCCCTCTACTTCATCTTCCTGAGCCCATGCTGACATTTGACCTAGAATAATATCAAACATTATATTCAAGAACAATAAATATTAGTATTTGTCAATCTTGGCCAATCCAGGAAGTCCTCTCTGCCAAGTACCTTACATTACAAACATACAATACTAATGCTCTCCCTTCACTCACTCTCTTATACAAACAATAGACCCTAACTTAATGAGGGCTCAAGCATAACTGTGTGAGGGTGGGATATAAGTTTTTTTAACATTACCTCTACTAAATCATTGATTCACAATGTGATGACCAAATACTAGTCTGACAGATTCCTTACAATTACACAGTACAGCACTTGCATTTGAACTGATTGGAACTTGCAGCATTTGACTTTTATTCAACTATGACCGCCTTTACCTGAATTTACTCAATGGGACACCATTGCTATTTTTATTTTTTGGGGGCAGGGATATTCCTGTGTAGGCCCTAAGCATGTGGCTGTTGCTCCTTAAATGTACAGTATTATATTTGACCTTTTGAAAAAATAGTCTGGATTAATATATTCCAATTTGTTCAGTCCAGTATTTCGAAGTATATATATTAGTTCTGTAGCTCTTAATCGTTCCTGGAATGAGAGTTGACAGTTTTGCAATAATTTTTTTTAGTGTTAAACTTTCTCCAACATAGATGCATCTTTTGAAAGTGAGGTTGCAATACAGATAAAGCTGTCCAGATGGGGCACACCAGAAACTTATACAGTCTTTTTACCATCATCTTTTTCTTAAATTAAATAGTTTTAAATTTCAGGATCATGTTGATCACATTGCAAGATATATATAATTTTCACATCCTACTATACCATAAAACATTAACGCGATCTGCAAATTTCTTTGTGCGTTTTAATATTCTCGTATGTCATTGATGAATAACATATAGGGTTGGCGTCAAGATGAAACCTTGAGTTACTCCACTTGCTACGTTTTTCTAGTAATATTCATTTACATTTAGAACCCTTTGCTGTCTTTTAAATATTCTAGTACTATATTTTACCTGTTATTCCGGCACTTGTAATATCCTTGGCAGTTTTCCATGTAGTATCTTATCAACAGCTTTAGAGCTACTGGGAGTCTTGTGTTGGAATTGTTGGTTATCGTCTCCAAATATGTGAGCAATCTAGTAAATCATGATTTAAATTGTATAAAAACCATGCCACTACCGCCCACAAGATGGGTATGGGGTGCATAATAAATGAACTAAACTAAACTAACTAAAACCATGTGTTGATTTTACAAGATTTCCCAAAATGTTATGTTTATCCAGTTTTAGTGTCTTTAGTGGTCCCCCCAAGACCGAGTGGAACCTTTTATGACAGCTTTCTTATTAAGAAGTTACATGAAGTTCCTACAGTTGTCTCAAGGATGCACAGGCCGGCCTTTCTTATATCTTGAAACCGAAATGCACTAAGGAAATAAAGTTAGTAATCCGTCACCTGCCAATTAATCCACAGAAACCAAACTCGCTTTACCTTCATTGGTTATGGAGATGATCACAGGAAGCACCAGCAATAACAGAAATAATAGTTTCTTCATCCCGGCGAACATGATGAGCGAGCGTGAGAGTAGTGAGAGAGCGGCCGCGAGTGTCACTTTCCACCTCCCGTGAGCCGTGTGTTGTGACGCTCGCCTCACTCTTCCCACCACTGCCACCCACACATTATTCTCAGATTTGTTTTACCCTTAGACACTATCTATCATTAATAAAACCTTAACTGTTTTCATTTTAATAGTATATGAAATAGAAATCAGTTATGTGTGAGGACAAAAACTCAAGCAAATTCAGAGTACAATATAAAGTAAAAGTTGTCATTGACTATTGGCCCTCTGTGACGTGCCGGCACTTGGAACAAAGAAACGTGGAATGAACCGACCGTGGAACCACGGCTGCCAACCGATCACCTTCTTATGTCTAAGAAAACCATGATAATTGCAAGTTAGGGATATCAATTTCTCCATCAGCTAATAACTAACAATATATTTACATATGTGAAGTAAACAAATTTAATTGTTAGCTTAAATAAAGTATATTATTAGTATTCATATTATTATTAGATTGGTAGATCTGGATCTGTGTTGACGTTTCACATCCCCTCAGCACACATGGCTGTCTTCTGGGAACGGACTGAAGTGTGTAGTCAGGTGTAGCATCAGGTACATTACAGCTCAAGGTCCGTGTTGTAAAGCACGCTGCTACGCTACTCTACGGTTACATTCATCTCGCATCTAGACATTAGGTGAACATATATAGTTAGCTTTTGACAAAACTATAGTCTTTCTTGGAGATTACATATATATATAGGGTATCGTCAATTAATTAATGCTTTAATTGTAGAAGTATAGTCGCAGATGCGTATGGTAAAATACAAGTTGCATTCCAACACAGTTGAAAGTGAAAATAATACATTTGGTCATTAAATATACATTAACTTAACCGTTAAAACATACCCAAAAACTTATAATCGGGACTCTCGGGCAGGAGATAAACGATTTGGTACATGTCCATTCCCTAATGCGTCTGTTCACCTAGTTGTTCAATACAAGAAAATTTAAGAATACAATAATTGTGCTACTTTCTAATTACATTATTTGTGTGGATAGGCAGGCAGGAGGGTTTCTCAATGGACAAAATACTGAAATTCTTGCGAGGCAGGATCAAGTACAACTTCCGGGTTTAAGGCGCATGTTCTGGATGATACATTGGTTTACTTAGAATTATATAAACTATATGTAATGTAGCATTTTCCTTGTAAATTTATATGTATACCCTTTATATTGTATATTATTTAATAAAGATAAAAAAACATTAAGTATTGTGGGGTTGCATCCTGGGAAGGGTCAAAAGTTCGACCTAGCTTGTGGGGCAGGGGCTTGACATAAGCTTTTTCACCCACAGGGTTATAAACCCATGGAATCCCCTACCTGCCGAAGAAATAGGATACTATAGAGGGAGCAGAAGCACTATATATCGGCATCATGTCCAACCTACGCCTTATTCAAAAATAAAACCAAAAAGTACCTAATTTTATCCTCATAGTTTCCCACCTCGCACTGTATCTTGTGCTACCCACTCCCCCAATATATATGTGACTAAGCCATTCAACTTCACCACTGTAATAACGGCTATTTAGCCAAATATCCCCAGTTTGCTAACTGTAGGTAGTAACTAAGTGATTGTAACTATCCACCGCTGCCCACTGGATGGGGGGCGGTGTGCAGGACAAACATATCAATTGTGTCACTAGCTCTTCACATATGTCAGTTGCTTAATTTAGAAATTGTACCTGTGGTCGATCTCGAACCCATTGATGATGTGACGACTTATACTGAATTTTGTAACTAGCTCATCAAGATTGTAACTTGCTTAGCTAAATGAATTGTGGGGTTCAGTCCCTGAGCCCATTATGTGCCTCTGTAACCCTTTCCACTACCGCCCACAAGATGGGTATGGGGTGCATCATAAATGAACTAAACTAAACTAACTGCAATCATCTTATATCATTGTTGTTATATTGAATACATATTTTACTATATTATACCTAGAAATAATCCTCAAATTATATTACAATGTACCTGTTGATAATCCTCAAATTTTACTATAATGTACCTACTAGTCTTCGTCAAATTGTCTTACAATGTAAGACAATGTTAACATTTCTTAATTTTGCAAGAAATTACCTACGTAAAATTATGTTAGATTAAGTACCTGGCCGAAACACTATGCGTGTTAGTGGCTTCACAAGAATGTAAAAACATCAATGCTTTGTACTCCCATAAACCCAATGCACCTTCTTGTATATATATGTATATATGTTATATGTATGTAATTTATTCTCAAGAAGATACAATGGGTTGGGGAGATTGCATAAGATTGGTTTATGTACATTCTTGCAAAGCCACTAATACGCACGCATAGCGTTTCGGGCATAATATATCAGGTAAGATGAAAAGGTGCAGTTTTATATTAACGAATAACTACAATATAAATTTTCAGAGGTGATTACATTGGTATGAATAACTACAATATAGTGTGAGTTTGAAGCACAAGGTAGGAAACTATGAGGCTGAAATGAGTTACTTTTTGGTTTTACTTTTGAATAGAGCATAGATTGGATATCTTTTTAATTCATCAGGGAGTGAGTTCCAAAGACTGGGTCCTTTTATTTGCATGGAGTATTTGCACAAATTTAGTTTGACTGGGGATATGAAAGATATATTTATTTCTGGTGTGGTGCTCATGGGTTCTATTACACCTATCAAGGAAAAGCTTCAGATCAAGATTAGCATTTAGGAACAGTACGTACAATGTACCTTTTTATCTTACCTGAAATTGTTAGATTAAGGACCTCCCCGAAACGCCATGTATGTTAGTGGCTTTGCAAGAATGTAAACATACCAATTATATATAATCTCACAAATCTCTTATTATTATTATTATTATTATTATTATTATTATTATTATTATATAAGTTACAGCAGTAGGGTATCGTTTTCTGTGTATATAGCATAGAGAAAATTAAACAGTCCTAAAAAATGAAGCATAAACTAAAGTATTTTAGCCAAATTTAGTTCGGTTCAATGTTTATTTAAAAGAAAGTGTGAACGAAGAAGATAAGAGTAATGTACAATTGTAGGGACAGGAGTTACACATACTTAGAATCTTGTGCTTCTTAGAATAAGTACCTGCCCGAAACGCTGCGCGTACTAGTGGCTTTACAAGAATGTAATTACTATGCTATGTATCCTCACAATCCCAATGTACCGTCTTGTATATAAATAAATAAATAAATAAATAAATAAATAAATAAATAAATAAATACTATTTATTTAAAGCCACTATTATGCAAAGCATTTCGCGTAACTACAGTCCCCGTGGCGCAGTGGTAGGCAGTCCCCATGGCTGTTGGTAAGATTTTTGTCCCTCGCATCGCGAGCGATTTGGCGTGGGTTCGTATCCTAACCGGTAAGGATTAACTACGCGCAAATCCTTAACTGTACGCCTCCGTTCATCCAGCAGTGAATATGTACCTGGTTGTTAAACGATTTAGTGGGTCATATTCCAGGGAAAATTAGGATTAAGGACCTGCCCGTAATATTGTGCGTGCTAGTGACTTTACAAGAATGTAAGAATTGTATGTTTAAATAAAACAAATTGAAATGAAAATGAGCATTTACTTTGTATTTACGAGGCCACCACCTAAAAAATTATATATTGTCCCCCTCTCTGCTCTTCTCCACACTATACTACTCACTAATATTTCTAGCACAGATATATTTATAGTTCAAGCACAAATGACAGAGTGGATTGTAGTGGAAAAAGTTCAGAGGAATGCCACGAGGCTAGTCCCAGAACTAAGAGGCATGAGTTACGAGGAAAGGATGCGTGAACTGCACCTCACGTCGCTGGAAGACAGAAGAGCACGGAAAGACATGATCACCAAATACAAAATCCTCAGGGGAATTGACACAGGTGGAAGCTGAGTACTTACTCAAATGAGCCACAGATACGTTAGAAAGAACTTTTTCAGTGTCAGAGTTAAAGTTAAAGCAGAATTCCATAAGCAGGACTGGTGGGTTGAACTAAGATGATTTACTAAGTGGATGGCACCTATATATAATCCCTTCCAGAGATTGGCTGTTGTGTAAATGTCAACAAAGAGTTTCTACTAATGATATGCCACCATTTTATTTATTATGCACCCCATACCCATCTTGTGGGCGGAGCTTGGAACCTCTTACCCGAGCACAACAACCTGCCTTATGGGTTGCTGTTTGGCTATTGATAGTGTGTTGGAAAAGCAACAGATGGCGTTAGTTGTATTTTGTAGGGTAATTTGTTATAAGTGTAATTTGATGTCAAAAGCTGTATCTTATGGCTACTGTTGACCAGCCAGTTGATAGTGCTCTTTTCTGCCGACAGATGGCATCAGCTGTATTATTATTATTTTAATAATATTACTACATTAATAATAATGTATTATTATTACTTTAAACACTGATCTATAAGTCTGGTAGCTTATAATAAGGTTTTATACCATGCTGGTATTAGGTAACTAGAAATCTGCAATTACTTTTTTTTATCTACTGTTGAGGATATGTAAGACAAACGTAAGGTTTTGAGGCTAAGTAACGAAGATAGTTACAAGATACGAGCCAGATGGTGTTGAGATTGCGAAAGGGATTATGATAAGAACTTAAACCAAAAAAATAAATGCATAAATGTTCGTAAATATGAGACTGGGATTTATTTATCGAAAAGTTAGCAATAAAATACGTTTTCTAGTTCTTTATTTTTAAAATTAAGACCAGGGATTCTGTCCAACGAAGCTGCAAGCTAAAACACCGTTATCCTATAATCTTCATCTGTAGCTTAACCCTAAATACTCGTTTATTACAAAAATTTATTGTTAGAGTTCATTAGGAATAAACTTTGTTGAAGGCAGAGCTTCCGGCAAATACTTTCCTGTGATTGGCTGTTGCGGAGAATGCCAACGCTTATATGAATAAAATGCAAAATAAGAAATACGTCCTTTTAATCAATAACTTTGGTGTTGTTGTACAAAAGAACAACAATTTCTGTTTTATACAAGACAGCAATTTCAATCTAACTGAATAATGTAGACCA